AATTATAAATAAATCATCCTTTGGCTTCAGACAGTAACTAGTAATTTGTATTTAAGTCCATTAGTGCCAGTTTTAATAGCTGCTGGGAAAAGGCTGTATTACAGATTACCAATATATTCAAAATGACTGCATATGGTTTATTCATGATAGGGTTTAAGATACAAAACTGTTTTTATTTTATATATTCAATTTATGGGAGGATAAAATAAAAAAAAGGGCAAATTTGAGGTGAAAATTCAAAGTCTTCTCCAAATCTTGCAAGTCTGCCAATCCACCGCATTATGATTAATATGTTTCAAATGAAATGCCATGATTTATATTTGCAATCATTATCAAACCCTCCCCCAGTTGGGCCTACAATTCTAACAGAAGAGAGAACTTCATTGTTTAAATGACAATGATGTCCATTTAACTTCTATAAATTCATGACATGGCCCAAGACTTTCAATGAAAAAACCTAAAGCAAACTTCTTGCTTGGTCGAGGTCAAATATTTGGGCCAAAGAGACATAGTTTTCTGACCACTGTCGTCTTCTTCTTAATATATATATATATATATATATATATATATATATATATATATATATATATATATATATATATATATATATATATATATATTTATTAAGAAGATGTGCAAGCATGTCCTATTTGTCCACAGTCAGTGGGTCTGTCTGTGTACCTGCAGAGTGTCATCAATCAGAGTCAGGATGTACTGGACCGTCTGCTCCTTGGAGATGTGTGCCATCAGGTTCAGAAAGGTCTTAGCACACTGAGCAAGAAAAACAAAATAGAAACATACAAAGTCAGAAATACACACCACCCATCTATGAATACAAATTGAAATGCTTTGCTTTTTTGTTCTGCCTCTTAAAACAGTCCAGAGACTAACTGAGCTCAACAAAACATTCTTATGATACAGCATAGGACTTGTGTGTCAGATCGACAGTACGTCAGTAAAACCATTTATAAGGCTGCAATAGGGTGAGCATGTGAGTACTGGGTACTGAAAACAGAATATGAACGAGGAAGTCCGGTTCAAACGTGTTTGAAAAGCTAAAACAGGTAGTGCAGAGCATTTTAAAGTAGAATTGTACAACACTAAAACATTGAAAGGAGAGCAACATATTTCCTCTTGACTGAGTGCTTATATGTTAATGCACAATTGACCATATACGCACTCAGTCAATAGATAATATGTTGCTCTCCTGTACCCAATAGGACCACTTCTTCCTTAGTGTGAGTAATTGTACGTATAGGCACCAGCTCTGTGAGTCTAATAGAGATAATGAAGGAAGATTTGCTGCAAAACCATTATTTATGTTCATCCTGCAATTGTCTGTCTGCTTAGTTTAAAAAGTTGTACACTAAAGGTAAGAACAGAAAGAAATCTAAACCAAACTGCTGTATAGATGAGAATGTTATCCAAGCACACAGATAATGTAAAGTTCTCAATACCTGATGTCCTTCATTGGTCAGAATGACCTGTTTCTCCTCAGAGTTGGCCACCTCAAATTTCTTGATGAATTCACAGTCCTCCGCTGAGATCATCTGACTCCTAGGAGAGAATTCATCAGGATAACGCCATTTTAGCGCTTTATGCAATTAATCATGTACATTTCTGATTTGAAAAAGAAGCCAGGCACACAGTGGATTGGCTAATTGAGTGTGTGAGCTCCTAATGATTATTCATGAGAAATGTAAAACAGTTCCTCCAACACCTACGTAAGACATACAACATACATGTATGCTGATCCTTGGGCTTTGTTTTGTCCCTAGCATGCAGCTTCTAATTGCTAGAGCAGCTAGCACAATAATGGCAATAACAACAAATACCACATGTTCTAGCTAAGGCTAAACCCACAACATGGATTGTACATGGAGGTAGCTAGTTATAGTTATAGTAAAAAGATAATTATATTATATCCAGACTAAATCAAAGAAGGAATCAAGTCATCATATGATTTTTTTAAGAAGTTATAATGCGAGTCACAAGTTGGAACTGCCTTATTAAAATGCACCATCTCAAAGAGGAAGTATCATTCAAGACAGTGAATCACAATACAGGAACTATAGCTGAATTTAGATTGACAAATGCACTCGATCTACAATATTTAGTCTTCATAAAGATTGATGTAGGGAGAGCTTAATTTGTCTAAGAATGGTTTGACATAAAGAGACTTAAAGAAATAACTAAATAAGCTAAATATGCACGTTATTCAGAAAACATATGTATCTGATGTCCTAACTAGTGACAAGTAAAACACTGAAACCCTCTGAAGCATTAGTTTAATTTATGTATGTATACATAAAACTAATTACACAACTACATTTGTCAGCTTGGTTCAAGTAGAATGAATGGCAGAGCTGTTTCGGTTGAACAGCATTAGTAGCTAGTCAAATATATATGATGTACTGTGTGTAATGTGTGCAATGTGTGTAATGTGTGTACTTACTGCAGGTAGGACTGCCAGTTGACCTGATTGGCCCGCACCTCTGCCGCCTTCGCAGCGATGATGTTGGTGGGCACTGCAGCATCCACTGCCCCGCGGATATCCATCCTGTTAGTTATCTACTACACTATATAGATAAATAAATCCAGCTCCACCTGGATGGAAACACAATAATTAACATTGAATTAGCAGTGACTCGATGTGTTGGCCAGGTTGTGTTTACAACTTGCACACTGCAGATCACACTTATAGCCGGATATACACCACCTGATGATGATAGTGATTTAAAGATGGTTCATCTAGTTCAGCTAGTTTGGTAAGGTGTTACAGAGCTTTACCAGGGAAAATGCTATTACGCAGTTGTCTTAGAGCTATACATCATTTGCCAAAAAATGCCGTGAATGTTTCGACGTGTGTCACAGACATTAACCCAACATATTTCATCTTCATAGTTTGACTAATTCTGACCAAGCTAATCATCAGCTGAAGCTAAACAGCTAGCAGGTTATCCCACATACTAGCTTAACCCAATGTCACGACATGTCATGGTGTGTGTTTCCAAAATAAACTACGCAGTACATATTCTGTATCATTAAAATATGTCACGGTTGTATAACAAATATAACGCATATATATAAAATAGTGTAATTATTCCGTTACGGCGACACGGGTGACAGCGTTAGCTAGCAAAATAAGCTGAGGATGCTAACCAAAGCTAGCTTAGCTAACGTAGCTTCGCATCCCTTCTGTCACCATATGAAACAGACAACAGCGCACAGGTTAAACATGTATAAACACAAAATCCGACAAATCACAATACGAATAGTCTTACATATTTCTGGTATTGAATAAGTGTTTTTTACTCACCTAGTTGCTGTCCTGTGCGAACAGCTGACTGACTACAACACCGCGTCACTTCTATCATGTGACAGTCACATGCACCGCAGAGCACGTGACCCAGCAGCATGAGAGAAGAAGGAGAAGTTTTCTACTTTAACATCAGAAATAACATCAAACTGAATGCAGGTGGTGGTAACCTTAATATTAACTATCATCTCTATAAGTGTTAGTATAAACATTTAGACGGTAGAACTGTTGCTGACAAACAGTGGAGGAATATAACTAAGTAGGCCTACGTGCTCAAGCACTGTATAGATGTTGCAGTATCCTATGTATTTTACTTGGGTATTTACATTAAATGCTACTTTATACCTCTATTTTAGTAGGCTACATATCAGTGGTAAAACTATTTTTTTTGATTCTCAACATTTATGATACTTTTAGTAAGCTACTATGCATAGTTAGTTTATTACATTTTAAATCAACTAATTAATGATGATGAACTCGTAGGACTCCAGTAATTCAGATTAGCTTTACCTAGCAATAACATTAAAGTAATGAACACATGAATACATCACTAATTATTATCCAGTAAACATATATATGTATATATATATTTGTTTTGTTGTTATATGTTATGTAGACATCATTTTAATGCTACAGCTGGTAAAGGTGGGTCCATTTTGTATTAATGTATATGCTGCTGGTTAGCTTGTAATTCATAAACTCTACACCACGATTGTCTTTTTGAATAATTCACTAGCTTTTCCCAAAAACAGACACAGAAAAACAAGTGAAGGCTGCTGCTGTGATATATGAAATCGATACAACCAGAGGGCCTTTCGTCCCCCTGCTGCCAAATCCCTGACAGGGCTGCAAACAGCCCCTGAAATCAAAACTAATCTTGGAAAGAGAAGAAGGAGACACATCCAACATCCTGATGGGTCTGGAAAATAAGTTATTGACCACCACATGTCAATCTAGCAGCTAGATTGACATGTGGTGGTCAATAACTTATTTTCCAATTGAACTGAATTTTGTATTTGATTAGCTATATTCTAGCTAATCAAATACAAACAGCTGTGTAATCAGTTCAGGAAGGACTTTAACTTTGAGGCTGTGTGAGGATGACAGATAGCTGAAATCAGTTGATTGTTCACAATCAACAGCTTTGATCAGTGTTCATCCTTGTGAGTCTTTAATGAGCGACAAGACCAAGTGCAACACGCCATAAGCTCCTCAGTAAAACACACGTGCACCACAGAGTGTATATCTTTAATATATAAACTGTGCCGCATGTACACTAAGGTCATATGTTTAATCTACAATGTGTTGTAATCCATTCTCTTACATGGGAGTTCATTAAGGACCATGTACAATCACAAATGAATCCACGTCTGTCACTTTTCTTCCTCTACGTCCCTCTCACTCAGACACTAAGACCTGTCTTAATCTGACCTAAGCTTGTGAGACGCAGCAAAGCACAGAGGAATCAGGATCCTGTGAGGACATTCTCCTAATCCCCTTCTGCCTCTCCTTTGTAAACACTCTTCACTTTGTCCGGGTCGCTCATGCTCATGCTTTTTCCTGCATCTCTCTCTCTCTTTCTCTCGGTCACAATGTGCTTCAGAACAGACGGGAGGAAAACATAGAGAACAAGAGTTAGGAGTGTGGATTTCTTATGATCTCGAAGAGACTTGTGCCTCACGTGGCGAGTGAGGCCTCATGGTCGGAGCATGCTATGTGCTAGAGCGCTGAGGCAGTGGGAGATCAGACCCACGTCTGCTCTGCGGGGGATCAGGCGCTCCAGGGCCCTCATGTGGCTCCGGATACAGGGACTGGTCCGGGCCCTCCGGCAGGGTGGGAGATACCCAGTGAACTACAATGACCCGGCAGCAGAGGAACAGGAGATGGTTTGCCTTGAGGTATGGCCCTTACCCTGATGAGTATTTCCATTTTTGATGAAAGCCTCATTATCATATACGCACCACTGATTGCTCATTTGGAGCTAATTTTCATGGAGCAAATGTTATAGAAACAATTCGAATAAGGGATGTTGAGTTGCTTATCAGTTCTTGTACTCATACGAAGCCACAAGTAACAAAATAAGTCTTCCACATCTTTCCTACTGTAGTTGTTTGTTGTTGTTGTTGTAACGATTAGTCAAAGCATCAAGAGCCCAAACTTCTATTTAGAGAAGCACTTCCTGTCTGAAAGAGGCTAAGAAGATTATAGGAAGATGGTGTTTCCTTAAATAGTATGTTACTAGTCATTGGAAATCTAAATAAAGTTGCAAAGTCAGTCACACACACACACACACACACACACACACACACACAGAGAGACAGACGGAGAGGTAGACAGATGTACAGACACACAGACAAACAGTATAAACATCACAATGCTTTAGTAAGGGAGTTGTGAATAGATTAAGTTGTTTTTAGCAAACGTGATATTGCTTGGCAACCAAATCATGGTTTGTAAATGGATAAATTAAGATTTCTAAATGCTCTCTGTAGTAAGTAACTAAAGGTTATTTATACACATTTTGAATCGACAAATACCACAGAGGAGAAGGGAGTGCAAGAGAGTGCTCACATATTTTATTGATAGCCAGTAGAGAATATATTGTAGCAAAAGAGATCCAATTGTAATTTCATGACCTTTATAATGTGATCCATTTGTTATTATACTTTACAAAGAACATAAATGATAACTGACATGTCCCGATTTCTCTTAATTTGAGAGTTGTTGTCAGAAGAGCAAACTGAGGTTTCCCTCCGCTTTGTGACTATTGATGGTCTCATAAACTGATGCACTTTTGAAGCAGAGAGCTGCATTGTCTGTGTGTAGAGGTCATGTTTTTGTATGAAAGAGTTATGATATGACTAAGTATTATTATTTTTGGCACAGCATCAATCCAGCCTGATAGCAATACTTTCTCTGAAATCAGAGATCAGAGATGGCATTTTGGACATTACCTGTGCCACCATTAGAAATCATTTAGGTTAATTATTTGATTTATATAAATGTTCCTGCAAACTGAATTTCCTTTTGTGGGACCAGAAATAAGTACATTTAGTATGAAATAGCATTACACCACAAAAGACTTCCTGCAACATTTGTGATGATGACTTTAAAGAAAAAGGTCAGACTGAATCACAACAACATAATGGGTGTGCAAAGCTACAATCATGTTTTTTCCCCTGTAAGGCTAACACATGTCTTTAAATAAGCCCAACAGAATTGTGTTTACCTGCACCTGAGGGTGGTAATTTGGACAATCAGCTAGCATGGAGATATATCGCTTAGAGTGAGGTTGATTATTTAATGTTAAAGTGAAAAACAAAAGAACAGATGACAGCGTAACTTGGTTACAAGGATTAACACGCTGATTGCATTTAATTAAATTGATCCTGACATTTAATGTACCAAAGTAACTTGATGAAAGACATGGGGGAACATACCTTATAAGAAGAATAATGTTAGCAGGGAATACAAATTAAATGGAGACAAATAAAGTTTCCTATGTTCAGTAGCCAGCTTGTGATTGAAGGACTCATCTTCACATGCAATATGCTCGCAGATGCCATGCATGATCGCTTGAAGTGTCAAGTTGATAACCACACTTCCTCTCTAGTGCCTATCTGCATGTGTAGCTCCAGTTATTGAATCTACAGTTAAATCGTTTTTCCTATAGGCTTTACAATTGTTTAAATCCCCTTTAAACACACCCTGAAAAGACTTCATTCATCCTGTCCCCCTCCAGCTTCCTATATACAGTATGACCTTGTGTGTTCAGATTTTGTCCTTGGGCCTTCAGAGGGAAAAGTCTGTGCGTTCTGCAGAATCTCACCCGCGTGTAGTGTAATTCGTTGCTTGCGTGTGTAAGTATCAATCTATCATGGCTATTTGTGGGTCTGCGTTGCATAACATGAACGCAGAGGAAGGTGTTAAATGAAGTGTTGTGGAGAAAGTCACATGATCGTTTCTCTAGAGGGGAATAAAGATGTGTGGATGCTTAGGGCATGCCCCAGTTCAGCAGAGTAATGTCTCTGGATAGGAAGGAAATCTCTTCCATTTTTAATTTTTTGGACACGATAACCGAGCAGATGAATCCCTAATCGTCAATTAGTTCAATTGGCAGTATCATAGAACTGTACCAGGTCTGTATGGATGCTGTGAGTTCTCCACCCAGTTTTGTATTACAGGGGGCTCACATTTTGCAGCACTTCTTATTACAATTTGGGAGGGATGACATTCATTTTCATGCAATCAAAGAGCATCTTAACTAACAATGTGGCCCAGCCATCACAAAGGTGTTGGTGTAAATTAAGAAGATAATTAGATAAAATACAATATGATATGCTTCACATTTGCAGAATAGGCAGAGTGCCATCTGGTGTTTGTACAAAGCAAATCAGGATGTGCATCAAAATGCAAAGCATAGAATAGATTGTAATAAAATGTATGTGTAAAATTGTACATCCATTAGCTTGGTTTGGCATCAAATATATAATAAATATCGACAGTGAAATGTACAAGCATGTCAAATGTTAGGGAACATATGAAAGAGAACAAATGTTGCAAACGTCTCCGTGACTTTCATTCTGTTCACATGACCATCAAGGCTGTATGAGTCAGCCTGTGCTTTACTATCATGTGCAGAGAGAATATTGTGTGTGTGCTGCAGCTTCAGCCGCCTTCAGATGGCAGTGTTGTCTTCTACATCATTACTGGTTGTAGGCCTGCACTGTATTAAACAAGGCACAGAGCAGCCAGGCAATCATCTGTAAAAGAGTTAATTACAGAATGATCCAATGCGACATATAACCTGCATTGAAATGGGAATGTATGCTTTATTTTATACAGATAGACATAGTTGCAGCAATGCAACCAATGTAATATGTACTAACTTTGAGCTAAATTGCAACTGCCATTCCTGACGTTAGAACAATAGATGTTGCAGATTCATATATGTATGAAAAGACAGTGTGAATGTGTAAATGCATGTGTCTGTGTGTGTATGTTGCATGACTGTGCATGCATTGACATAAGGTTGTGTGTGAGCGTTTATGGTTGTGACAAGATAAGCAAATGGCATTGCATTTGCTTAATTTAATTTCTAACTCATGTGCAATGCAAAAACCTTTTCCCCCTATCAGATCAATAAAGTGCATTTTAACTAAACCAAATGTAATCTAAAAGATTAAAAGCCATTGTTCAACATAAATACATAAATATATTTGATACTCTTTGTGGATGGATCAGTCAATAATGTGAAAGCACTTAACTGACAGTACAAATGTAAGACTAAACTTCACAAATGATGTAACATTTGCTGCCAAAGTCATGCTATCCTTCAGAGAGGTTCAGTTAAAAAGAAGCTGCTGGCTGTTCAGCACCATAGACAGCGACTTCATGCATGGGCTCACTGGTGCATGTATTTCTGAATATGTTTGGTTTTGTTAATATCTTTAATGCAATATGGGCTCCAATCAAGTTAAGTGGTCCTTTTCTACCTAGTGCGTCAGTTTCTAAGATTTGTTTTATCGCCTTTTCTTTACTACAAACTGACATAATGTAGGCTATGTTGCTTGAATAGTCTGGTTTCAGATCCTTTCGCATACAAGGCAGGTTAAACGATCTGCACTGTAAAACCCTATGCCATACTGTCGGGGTTTACGCTCTTCACTGGGCTACTACGAGCTGGAGAGAAGACGCATGCGTACTGACTTGAAGCAGCCGGTCGGGAAAAAAAGCCTTATGTGCCATCGGATGTAATCAAGGCAAAGAATTACCTCTTCTCGCTGTGCATACATGGTGAAATTGTAAGTACTGGTAGCAAACTGGTTTATCATTGCACGGACATTTCGTAAGCGGAGCATTTGAATCCGTTTCCCGGTAATTTTAAATGGCATGTCACTATCTTGCTGTACAGTGGGCTTTTAACAGATCTAGGCAGTGTCTTTTCGGTGGTTGTCCAGGGCGAAGAAGCTCTACGGTTCTTCATGGTGGCACTTTCCATTGATGTGTTGTGCAAGCGGCTAAAGCAATGGTTTCTGCAGATAAAATCGTTCAGGAGCCATTACGTCCCAGTGTCGTTCAAATGTCTGCTACGGTAAGATTGAAGAGGAATAGCGCTGTATTTGGTGTTATCATGATTTATTATTTTTGAATGGATACCACCACCCCCACCCCCCATTTCATCGTCTATAGTCAAGACATAGCGTACTGCAATTGTGTCAGCTTTGAAGTACCCAACGCGTAAAATATGCCATTCGGCAGGACGCACGGAATCTGCAGCTGAAGCCTGCTCTGAATCTGAGTGAAACGGCGCGGATCCATTTTAGAAATGACCAAATGGTATTGTATTCACCGAAAGGCTGTGATAGAGCGATGCTGCGGTTATAGATTTGCAAGCTGCGCCTTCGGGCCCCCCTCCCATGTACAAAATCTCCTGACATTTTTTTTTTTTAAATCATCGTTTCTTGAGTCAGGTAGTAGTCGGATGATGCCGTGTGTTGGGAGCGACAGCATTGTTACATAAATGATCTGACAGGATTTGGCAGCGTGTGACCTGGTGATGACACATTTGTTAAAATCAGACAAGAAGTCATTCTGTGAGCCAGTCTGTATATCTATAGGCCTACAACCCTTAATGGGGTTTCTGTTAATATAGAGTCACAATTATAACACCAAGGACATGATAGCCTAAATGTGCATGACAAATTGACACTTGACAAGTAAGAAATCCTGAGAAAATTGACAGATATTTACATTATTTTCGTGTGTATTTAATTTGTTTCTCCACTTGGGGCCCAGTGAGCTTTGGAAATCCTTTAATGCAATGCTGCAAAGCTTATACAAATGGGGTGATTCAAATTTTGGATTATGATCATTGAGCCAATGGTCAACAAGCTTTCCATTTTACACATGCATTTGGAGTGTTTTGGGTAACATACAGCCAGTTTGAGATTAGTGGGACTAAAATGTGCTTGGCCAGTGCACATTTGGCAGCATGAAAACAAAATCGGCAAATTATTCTTCCATACTTCCCCCCTGATTAGAGCATTCCTTAACAGTGTGGCCTGCGGGCATGTCAGCACAAGCTCCTGCTAGAGCATCAGCAGCACTTCACTTCCTGCACGCATAACAAATACATAGGTGTCAACTGCTGAGTGGTACATTAAATAAATCTAATTAACCTGCTGAAAGTGATCAAAATGCTGATAAAATGGATGTCACAGTGTCCCACTCTACACTGTGCTGTCCTTGCATATTGCACTGGCACTCATTTGTATCATAGAACTCCATTGTGGGTCAAATTTGTTAGAACAAAATTCCAGTTTTATGCTATTCCTGAAATTTTTAACACTAAACACAGCGCCTCTCCCCTGTGTCTGTAGCCCATGGGATCAGAGCGGATGGAGATGCGAAAGAGGCAGATGTCGGTGCAGCAGGAGTCGGCAGCGGGAGAAACTGCACCATCCCAGCAGGACCAGCAGGACCAGCCGGGCCAGCCGGGCCAGCCGGGCCAGGCTAACCCACGGGGATCAAATGCATGTTGCTTCTGCTGGTGCTGCTGCTGTAGCTGCTCCTGGTAGGTCTTCCAGGAGAACTCGCTGGTTGTGGCGCAGCACGGCCGACATTACTGCACACAGGAAATCACAGCCTGAGAAACTGTGTCTCAGCAGCAGGCTCCGGCTTGTGTCTATTATGTCCTCGATATTTTTGCATGTCATCTGTGGACTCTTGTCCTGCAGCAACCTTTTTGCACTAGCATTCAGTTAGTTATCTGCAGAAAATGTGAGCCCTTGAAATATCTATGTATTCATAATCTATCTGCTATAAGTATATAATACAAATATTCTTTATCATATCTGACCAACAATGTAAAACCAAGAGATAAACAGTTTACTTATGTAAACCAGCAAAAAAAGATATTTCAGAAACTAAAAACCGCAAAATGTTTCACATATTTTTCTTGAAAAATAACTGCATTAATAAAACAAAAGAATATTTTCAAAGAAAGACTGCTGGGATAAATATAAATTACTCTATTTACAGAGGTAGTTTTATTTGCATGTATATAATGTTTATATTACACATACAGTAAGATAATTCGCTGGTAAGTAACACGATAAATTAATATGAAATGAAGGATGAAAAATGATTTCATTATTCATTTTTCCTTGTCACTTTAAGGAATGAAGACCGGGATGAAAGGAACCGAAAGGCTTCTTATGACGTCAAGGAGGGGACCTCAGACTGTGAAGACTGGTCCGTTGATTTCACTGCACACAAAATGCCAAAGTTAGTAAATGTTGAAATCACTCACTCATTCACACGTTGTCCATGCTCCCTGCAGCCCGATGCCCACGCTGGAGGAGGTGCACTCGTGGGGGCAGTCCTTCGATAAGCTAATGTGTTGCCCAGCGGGGAGGAACTCCTTCCGACAGTTTCTTCGCACCGAGTTCAGCGAGGAGAACATGCTCTTCTGGTTAGCCTGCGAGGAGTTCAGCAAAGATGCCAATAAGACCCCAGTAGAGGAGAGAGCTCGGGTCATCTATGAGGACTACATCTCCATCCTTTCGCCTAAAGAGGTATGACAGCTCTTAATATCACTGATATGATAAAAATGTGTTGAATTCAAACAAGAATCTTTATAATAAGTAGAAAGATATAATATACTCCATTCTCTGGGGGAAATTCAGGTGTCCACCAACTCACATAATCTGTTTCAGCAAATACATTTAGATTAGTGACAACACACAATATACAAAGGTAGGCCTGATGATAATAATTATAATAATAACATGTAAAGATAACATTTAAAAAAACTTTAAAGCAAACACAATCATAAAAATAAATAAATAGATAAAAGGTAATTTAACAATTTTTGAATATGTTGAAGATTGATACCACTATCTTGTCTTTATGGTTAATATGAAGCTACAGCTGGTTATCTTAGCGCAGCATAACACATTTAAACATAGGGAAACAGCTAGCCTGGCTCTCTCCAAAGCTAACAAAATACAGCAATCCGCACTTCTTAAACTGTACAAAAACCTATGCTATGCTATGCTGCTATGCTATGCTATGCTATGCTATGCTATGCTATGCTATGCTAAGCTAAGTAAACCTTGGATTATTTCTGGGCTCTAATCAGTTTCCAGGTAACCAGTTTAGACAACTGGGAGTAACATTTTCCAGCTTAGAAATAATAGAAGCACATAAAGCAGCACATTGTCATTTTTACACTTTGTTCAAATGGAATAAAAACAGATGAGATATAACATGCTAAGGTGCAGAGGGGCTGGTAGGTGGATTGTGTTATCTGTAGACGGAGTCAGGCTAGCTGTTTACTCCATTTTCCATCTTTGTGTTATCTAAGCTGGAAGAGAGAGTGATATCAATATACTTAAAGTCTCAGTAAGAGAACAAATAAGATATTTATTAGAATGCCATTTTTCTCCAGACTGTCACTGAGAATGTGCAAATGCAGTTCTCTCTAATTGAAACCTCTGTTCTTCACTCCCAGGTGAGCCTTGACTCCCGTGTGCGTGAAACGATCAACAGGAACATACAGGAACCCAACTTGCAAACCTTTGAAGACGCCCAGGTGCAGATCTACACACTAATGCAAAGAGACTCGTATCCTCGCTACATGAACTCCTCAGCCTACAAAAACCTGCTCAACACTCTGTCAGAGCAGTCCCCCGAATCTTAGGGTGGTGATGACCTGTGATATTTTAACTCTCTTTACCCCCCTCCCCCCCCATTCCCCCCTATCCTTATCCCCCTTTTTTTCAAATGTTTCTTTGTATGTTCAGTGTAGGATTACATGAACCGGGCCTCGGGCCTGGCCCCTCCCAGGGAACTCAGCGCTATTGTGATCTGCACCTGACCGACGACACTCAGGTCTCAAAATCTCCCGAGGGCTCGACATCACAAGTACTGCTACAGATCAACATAGCAAAACACTCCAAAGGAATATGAATACATTTTGTTTCCGTTTTCTTTTTCTTTCTTTTGATAGAAATAATCTATTTTATTTGTGTTCAGAGTTTTTTATGGTCTGTTGTTTTTTTGTATGATTGTTTTGGGGGGAAAATGATTCCTACTGTAGACTATATATTTATGAGTTTGTAAATAGTAAAAATTGAATTGTGGGTACTTTATGTAGAGACGCCTGGTTCTATTTACTGCGTATGAAAATCAAAGCTCAAGTCAAAGGCTACGTGTTAGCTCTACTTGCAGGCAGCTTTGTGGGGTATTAATGATTTTACCTTTGGTTTTACCCTGTTTTGTTACCTAACCTCACACTTTGGTACCTGTGACAGCGACTTGGCAACTCCAGTTAGTGTAGAAAGTGTGTGTGGTTGAAACTGCCGTAACAGAAAGGGACGATAGCTCTTGTCACGTGTGCAACTTATATTCTCAAGAAACTCAAATTAATGATAGAAGAGTATTTATAAAGTATTATCTCAGTGCACCTCATATATTTAATTTAGTTTTACCAGTGTGAACCTAAGCAATTCTATTTACCAGATAAAGTATTTTTTATTTATTGATATTTATTGCCAATACAGAAAAATGACAAGTACAGATTATATTGAAGCTCTCTGGTGAAGTCAACGATAGTGTTGAGCTATTATTTTATCGGTCTGTAATTGCCTAATGATTTATAGCACGTTTCAGTCATTTTCTTGAAAGAATTGCCCCAATTTGTACCAAATTGATTATTAATTTATGATATGGTTGGAAACTTGTAATTTGCTTGATACAGTTGGATTGAAGGATATGTTCACTAAATGTAAAGCTACAATAAGAGACTGCTCAGAATAAAGACTCAATACAGGGGTAACAGCTAGCATTGCTCTGTCTAAAGGTAACACAATCTGCCTATCTTTATAACATATCTTTGTTTCCCCTTTCCAGTCTTATTTATTGCACAGACATCAGAGTGGTATTTACTTTTCTAAAAAAGCAAATAAGCACATTTCTTACAAATAACAGCTTAAATTCTACATATCTGTACATTTGTATATTTTTTCTGGATTGACATATTTAGCTGACAATTGTCTGAAGTCATCCATTGGAAGTCTAACACCTACTCTATGTTACCTATAAGAGTATACATAGTTCATTATAGGATTTAAAAAAAAAGAAAAAAGATTTCTCTATAAATTACAGACCGGTAAAATAATACGTAATGTGTGAGGCTGATATTTTCTGACAGCAGGAAGAGATGTCTGCGTATCATCCTTCAAGATATTTACTTAAAAAAGCTCACATGCAATATGAAAACGACTTCAGATCGAAATAGGCGCTGGGGTCAACACCAAAGCTACCACATAAACTGTGTTTTACCAGAGTGTTTCCATTGGCAAAAATTGGAGTTGCCAAGTATTAAATACTTTTATGTATTCTGTTTTTAGTTGGATTACTTTGTTGCCTCACAAACATGTCACTCAAAGACAAGATCCTCACATGGGGAAGTGCCTTGACATTCAATTTTATGACATCTTTCTCATGGGCAACAGATGTTTTCAGACTCTTGCCAGAAGGGGGGTTACTGGAGCAGGAGGCCAGTTTACTGGATCGACCCTCTCTTTGGCTAAATTATTGCATGTGTTTTGTCTTGATTTCTTAGTCGTGACAACATCGGTCCATTTTAGTAACACTACCCAACACTTAGGTGGATGGTGATGATAACACATGTCTTTATTTGCTAAAGAGATCAATGGATAGGGCTGTTTGAGGGGAATTTCTTGCCAACCTGTGTGCTTTGAGGTGGCACTTCTACTTGTCTTAGAGTTAATTACACTTACTACGTGCAATTTGAGCTGATGGATACACCGTGCAGATCAACCTCAAAACACAATCTAAGCCAATGGTTTGGAGTGATGCCTATAAATGTTGTTTTTTTCTTTTGTTTACTATATGAAATGTGTTATTTTGCGCTGAGTTTACTGATGAATACATTTCTAAAAAAACTAATAATGTGAATGTTTACAGTATATGGTTTAGTTTTTTTTTTCTGCTACTCTCCAAGAAAATAAAGACTTGTGGGCATTTTGATTAAGATAAAATAAAGCACAATAATTTTACTGACTCTCGAATGATTTGATCGTAAAGCTACACTACACGACCATAAAGTACTCAAACGTTCCTAAAAAACAGGAAATCTAAACACTATTCAAAATCTTACTTTCCATTAATGATAAACATTAAAGGAATTTAATGCAACAGCTGATTAATTAAGATATTGGTCTGAAGGTAAACATGAGCAAAATACTTCAATAGCAAGATGTAAGTTGAAATGTTTTCAGTACAGATGTACTCTTCATCAAACAAATGGATCAGCTGAATCTGAATAAAGAAAATCACACATTTGATTCATGTTCATGAGCTGAGTTGGTTAACTCGATTATAATAATATAATACACAAGGATAACAGTAAACACATAGCTTGTTCCACACTTGAGCTTCATATTGAAACAGTAGCTTTTAAAATTACATTGTTGAGGCCTTACTCAAGATTAGACTTTAAGCTATTAATTCAGTTTGTACAATTCTAATAATATGTAGCAGTAAATGATCTTTCAATTAATTTGAAATCAAGCTAAATGCAAGTACAAATTGACAGAAATATTTTCACTAAGCTTGTGAGTTACATTACATGACAAATGTTAGATGCTTTTACCCAAAGCGACTTCGGACACTCAATACTGTGGGCAATCCCCTCAGGAGCCCTTTGTGGTGAAGTGTCTTTCCCAGGGACACAGTGGGGATTGATCCAGCGCCCCCCCCCCCCCTCATCCGAAAATCAACGCACTAACATACTGCGCCACACCCTCATCATCGTGTGTGAACCTTAAGCATGGTTCAGTTTCATACAAAATACTTAGTTGTGCTCCTTGTAGTGAGAAACGGCCATTTTCTTATCCCACTATTTGTAGTCTTCGTGAACATGGGACTGCTAAGAAAAAACTCTAAAAGGGTTTGACAGATTCGGAACATTTCTTCAGAACAACAACAACATTAGGGCACAAACAGGTTGCTTTTTAAATTAGTAGCTATTCCAATACTTTATTATTGTATCCATGAAGACTTACTCAAAGATTAAACACACTTACTGGTGTGTGTTCAGGTTGTGTGAAGACTACACAACGGCTGGTCACCATAGAGTTTTTGCACCTGGCAGTTAAAAAACAAAAACCAAGAGGAAGGGGAAACAATTGTGTGTGTCCTGGTTCTGCCAATGACATTACCCGGTCCCTCAGCAGATTAATATTCATCACATCCACTTTGATGTGATGAATAATGCAACCACGCGCACATACACCCACGCACACACACACAATCAGCGTCACCCACCACACACACAGAACATAACCAGAGGACACCAAAGTCTAATGAAAAGCACTTATTTTTTAATCAAATGGATTACACTTTTATTGGGAAATTAAATAAAAACAATTCCATGTCGTGAGGGAAAAGCAAAAAACAACATTTCTCAAAGTGTTAAAACTACATATAAAAAAATGCAGATAAAAGAAATTGAGACAAGATCGATCGCATATATCTGACAGTGACAAAACAACTAATGACAATAGTAAAAGATTTGGGGGGAGGGCTTTCAGGTGACTGACAGTGAGCTCAATCTATGAACCGGATATTTATATTAAAACGGTAACCTGTGGCATCTCTGTATGGCATTATGTGTGTACTATGTACCACAAAATACAAAGCTCCAATGTGTTGCAGAGACACAATCTGGTCTGGGAATTTGCTACTTGTCGGGAGTGTCGAGCAGATTCAGCAGAACTGTAAAAAAACAAAGACATTATTAATACCAAGACAGTGCAATATTTACATTTAAACACTGATTATAATAAGCCATGAAGGGGCTGGTGGGGGGGGAATATAAATCAACAAAGACCATCATTTGTTTTTATTTTAAAAACTATACCTAGTACTTTATTTGATACATTTTTTCGACTCTCAATCATCAAACTTAAGAAATTGCAGTGATTCAATAAATGTTGATTTCATTTACAAATATTGGTTTTTACCATGGATAAACCTCTATGAATATCAATAAATTCAGTACCACTTTACAATAAGACTACCCTTATAAAGGATTCATAAAGGGTTTATAATTAGGTTGTAAACACTTTATTAATCATTAAGAACCATTTATAAACCAGTTCTAACATAGTTTTCATACGTCAACACAGGCTCACTATTTGGCAAGAGGACTAAGCCTTATATTGGCTACTTAGCGAGAATCAACTCGGTGAGCAACAGATACCAAGGATGCTGGCTGATGAAGAACACGAAGTAAGCTAGGTAGCCAATATAAGGCTTAGCAATACAGATACATGTGGGCTCACCATTTGGCAAGCAACCGGTCACAGTCGCCCTGTTTATCTCGTGTCTTATAAAAGCTTATTAATGATTTATAAAGTGTTCACAACCTAATTAATAAATTACAAACTATTGGTAAACCCTTTATAAGGGTAGTCTTATTGTAAAGTGGTACCATACATTCTAACTCAAATGTACAAATCGAGATTAATTCAAACTACAACACGAGATATATGTAGACGTTGTGCACGTTACAATTGTCTTAATCATCATTAAATCTATCAATTGGTTATTTTACTAAATTCAGAAATTCTTTAAATCTATCAAATGTAAATTATAAAAGAAGAAGAATAATTGTAATAAGGCAACAAAATAAACAGTTTTGATATTAGCTTGATATTTAGATTAACACCTAAACCGATTATCTGTGAAACACATTTCTGTTTCTCGACTTGATTTATCAATTCAGCTTTTTTTGATATGCAACAACATTGAGGCGTCACCAGGTGGCAGACTTCTGTGTAAACTAGCATTTAGTTGAGCAGAAGTGGGATTACATATAAAAAGGTGAGCGGTTGAAGTCTGCATGGAGAGTGGATATGGACCAAATGGTCTCAATCTTTTATGGAAGTAAAAATAAATAAAAAAAGATTCTTGATGCCCTTAGTCAACAGAGCGTGAACCAACATACCTTCCATCGATTTCCGCAATCATTGCAGAAGACAAACGTGGTCATCGGTTCATCAGCACTGCGAGTTTGAACCTGGAAAAGACAGAAACATTCACAATCCATTTATAACTAAATCAAACTGCGGTTTAGACTGATTTAAAAATCATGAAAAGCACATTTTGCTCTTTACTAAGTTGAGTTACATGATGAACATGAAGTCATACCAATATAATATTAATGTAACCAACCCATTTTAATTAAGTCAATTCATATACATCAACAGCTAAAAACTTATTATTATTTACAGCACTATTCAAGGTCTTTCAAGGCACCTAAATCAAAAATGTCTACACTCATGATGCTGAAGCCTTTATCATTAAATGTAAAATGTTAATATAAATGCAATTGTAAAGTTTAATGTGTAAAGAATTCCTTTATAGCCGTTATTCATAACCAGCTGTTTATATTAAAGGGGACCTATCATGCAAAATGCACTTTTGTACGTCTTTTATACATGAATATGTGTCCCCGGTGTTCCAGGGAACTCACCAAGTGTCAGAAAACACAACCCTCTCTATTTTCCTCCATACCCAAATTTCTAAAAAAGGGGCTGCAACGGATCTGATAAAAACTGATCCAGATTTGAACACTGTCCTGACGTCAGGACATTGGCGCTACGGCTATTGGGCCAACTCCACCAATCAGGAGGAGACAGCCACGGCCATTGCCGTTCGAAAGCGCTGGAGACGCTGTAGTACATATGCCAGGCCTCTAGATGGTGCTGTTGCTCACAGAATCAACCCTTGCAAAAACAGAGCTAAAAAATGTCAAATTGAGCAAAATGAGGCATGGCTAAAATGCATGATCTGTTTGGTATTTTGAAAAAAAAAAGTATAAATATGCCTTATATAGGTATGGTCCTACACTATATTATTCAAATATAGCATGATAGGTCCACTTTAACTTTGATTGTGTGTTTGGATCTTGGTTATTTAATACTTAGCTAGCTCCAGTCCGCTCCATGCATTCTGTTTTATAACAAATACGACTGAATTGTTTCATTTCAAATATTAAAAGACTTTTGGTTCACATGACTGGTTGTGTATATTGAACACCAAATGA